TTTCTGGTGGTTTATTGGAGATAGGAGTCTCACGGTCTCTCCTGCCCAGGCTGGCTTTGAACTGGGATCCTCAGATCTCAGCCTCCTGAGTAGCTAGGATTACAGGTGTGAGCCACCAGCGCCCGGCCACAATAATTTTTATTGTTATCAGTAATCACAGAGGAGGAATATGCATTAGGTAATTAATACATGATAGGCACTTTAGGTATAGAATCTGATATCTTATAAAAGCCCATAGAAAGAATGATTATGACTATATTATCATAAGCCATCCTTCTCATTTTGCAGAGGAAGAAATTAAGGTCAAATGTCACGTATCTCTTAACTCATTCCTAAAGTAATTGTAACAGGCTATACAAGAAAAAAGGTATGAGGAAAAATTATGTGATTATCTGGATTCGTAACAGATTATGGGACATCTCAAAAGAATAAAGAATGTCAAACTAGGGCTGGGAATGTGGCTTAGTGGTAGAGTACTTGCCTCAAGCATACATGAAACCCTGGGTTTAATCCCTCAGTTCCACATAAACAGAAAAAGCCAGAAGTGGTTCTATGGCTCAAGTGATATAGTGCTAGCTTTGAGCAAAAGCAGCTCAGGGACAGTGCCCAGGTCCTGAGTTCAAGCCCCAGGACTGGCAAAAATAAAACAATAATTATAATAAAACATTAAAGATTGGAAACTAATATTGGGAAAATATGTGTTTGTGTAGTTTTATGTTGTGTAAGTTGATGTAATCATCACTGTAATCAAGTATAGAACTAGCTGGGCATCAGGGGGCTAAGACCTGTAATACCAGTTGCACAGGAGGCTGGACCTGGAGTGTTGCAGTTAGAATCCAGTCTGGTTACAATAGACCAGGAGACACCAATTCCATTTAACCATAAAAAACTGGGCTGCATTGTCCAAAAGAAATATGCTTTCAGCTGGGAATGTGGCTTAGTGGTAGAGTGCTTTCCTAGCATGCATGAAGCCCTGGGTTCAATACCTCAGCACCACATAAACAGAAAAGGCTGAAAGTGGTACTGTGGCTAAAGTGGTAGAGTGCTAGCCTTGAGTAAAAGAAGCTCAGGGACAGTCCCAGTCCCTGAGTTCAAGCCCCAGGATTGGCCAAAAAAGAAATGTACACTTGACCTGTCTTGTATAACTGTAACTCTTCTGTATATCACCTTTATAATAACACTAACAATTTTTTGTTTGTTTTTATTTTTATTTTGGCCAGTCAAAGGGCCTGAATTCTGAGCCTGGGCACTGTCCCTCACCTCTTCAGCTCAAGGCTAGTGCTCTACCACTCGAGCCATAGCACCACTTCTGGCTTTTTCTGCTTATGTGGCACTGAAGAATTGAACCCAGGGCCTCAGGCATGCAAGGCAAGCGCTCTACCACTGAGCCACCTTCCCAGCCAACACTAACAATTTTTTAAAAAGCTAAGCTGGAGGCATGACTCATGTGGTAGAACACTAGCAATGAGAAGCAAGCTGTGTGAGCACACAGGACCTGTGTTCAAGCCCAAGTACTAGTTTAAAAAAAAAAGAAAAGCAAGCTGGGTCAGGCACTGTTGGTTTATGCCTGCAGTCCTAGCTACTCAAGGCTGAGATCTAAGGAATGAAGTTTGAAGCCAGCCTGGGCAGACAAATCTGAAATATTCTTATCTCCAATTAACCACCAAAAAGCCAGAAGTAAAGGTATGGCTCAAGTGGTAAAATGCCAGACTTGAGTGGAAAAGTGAAGCAAAGCCCTGAGTTCAAGCCCCAGTACTGTGCACACATGTGTGTGCATGCACGTGACTCACACACATACATGCACACACTCACACAGAACTATTCTATAACCACAAAAAGTTCCACTCTGCACACCTAACACCTTCTAGCACTCATGGAAGATACTGTTTTATTCTCTATCACTACAATTTTGTCAATATGAGAATGTTATAAAAATAAAATCCTTTCAGATTGTCATTTTCACTCAATATTAATACTTTAATCAATCCACATTGAAAATCAGTGGTTCATTCCTTTTTGGCTGAGTAGTATTTTGTGGCACGTATATACCTGTCTAACCATTGATTATTTTGGGGCTAAGGCTCAGCTATAAAATGAAGTTTTTTTAAAAAAAGGAGGATTGCTGGGTCATAGGGGAGCTCTATGT